AAGGTATTAAAGGTTTCTAACCCAAGGACATTTTGCCGCAGAAAACAGCAGCTGAATCAGTTTTTTTTTTTTTTTTTTTTACCATTTTTCTTTCATCCTTTTCAAAAAGAATGTGTTTTCGTGGAAAAGATGCAATCTTCAAGGCAATGTATTTTCTCCAGAAGAAATAAATAAAGCTTGCGACATTGCTGTTGTGTTCGTCCAACTTGTTGTCACAGTTTACAAATTCAACACACCATTTTCCGTCAATATGAATGTAAAGCCTGAACGGGTTTTGTCCGCCCACACGCAGCCGCGCCTGATCATGTCTCTGCACGCTGGCTTCTTCTTCCACCCCAGAAACTGACATGTGGAGTCCTACATGAGACAGGAACCATCAGCATCTGCAGAGAACTGGGTGGTTAATTGTCAGAGTTGACACCTATTAAACACAGCAAATAACACAGGAAAGACAAGAGAAAGTTAGATTCTTAATACTCGCGAGGAGAACAGACAGAGATGTGCTTTCAGTTACAAATCTCCTACCGCTCTGAAGCACATTTGCCTGCCCCTCTCTTTTTATTGTCTTTAGGATTCCTAATCACAGAGAGCGCTGTAACTCTAAAGGGAGGGGGAAAGACACTTCATCACACAGTCACAGCGCCAAGATTATCGCTAACTAACAACACAATCTATCTCACACTAGCTTATCTAGTTCCTGACCCAGGATCAAACAGGACAAGTTGTGAATCTTCACGGCGATGGTTTTATAGCTATCTAAGAGGTCAAAAGCAAGGCGTTCTGTGAAGAGCTGCTGTCACTGCTCTTCTTCAGAGAGGCCCTCTGAGAAAGGAAATCAGAGTGATTAACATTTCAGAAACATTTCTTAAAAGATACGACTAAAACAAATAAGAGTACATAAACTAAGAACATATAAAACAGTATAACAAATAGTTGATAATACAATTTACCTAACATTAACACATAAACGATCGATTGAGTTCAAGACCTCTTTCAGAAGGCAGCAACACGCGACACAGTGGGCAAGACGATGACAAATAAAATTCAGGAGTTAATATTAAAGTAAAAACTTTAAAACAGCCTTACATGCATGGCAGTCATGTTAGCTTTAGCATCCAGTTCACAGTGGTGACTGAGGCGGTGATTGTGAACAAAGTAAATTACAGAATCATTTGCATAGAAATGTTAGGAGGCATTTGACAAGTTTGCACAGAGATCACTAACAAAGATTGTAAAAAAAAAAAAATGAAAAAGAAGGGTCCTAAGACTGGGCCTTGAGGCACACCTTTATTGACCTCAAGAAATGTGAACCTTACTCCGACTGTGGGGGTTCCAGAGCAAAGTGAAAGTTTCACGTTTCACTTGTGGTAAGCTAGAACATGTTTTTGTTCAAATGCTAGCTTATTAGCACAATTTCTAGTCTGACCTATGACCCCAAACATGTCCCGCATAACAGCAACAATAGCGGATTACATGTTTGTCTTGTATTTTATTAGTTTAATAATCCAAGGACGACATTGTCACAACATGCAAAAGACTCCACTGGAATTTCGTTGTGCACCACTCTTGTTTTCTTGTTGTGTTTACCACTAAGCTAGCCTGGCTATTGCCTTCCTACGCAATTCAGCTTGATTCTCCTCTCCTGTCTGAACTTCCTCCAATCAAAGTAGATTTCTTTGGTAGAATTGGGTCCAAAGAGAAGGAGAAGTTGTGAACGATGACGTGGTTTTTCTTTTCTGCACCGTTTAAGAATTGTAGCCTGCCTGTAGAGTTAGCAATGTCAGCGAAGGAAGTGAACGAAGTCGTTCAGGCCGGGTTGCCTGCACTTCTAAATACTGAATTAACGTTTAACGTTTAACAGCCTCCTCATTCGGCTCGGTATTTCTCTCTCTGCGGTGGAGGATGGCTGTTTATAGCGGTAACCTTTATAGCGGAGAAGTGTCGCAATACAGACATCACTAAACATTAGCGATTGGCTAAAATTTAACATTTTAGCAAAGTCCATGCCTCCAGCAAGTAATTGTTTCTCAGTAGCTGAGGTTCCAGACCCTCTGTGTGAAGCAAAGCGTAGGTTGTAGAGGCTATATGCACGTCACACACTCCATGTTTAGCACCACCTACAGGTCTGGGGGAGTAAAACATAGTGTTTTGGTTCCATTCTCTGTGTTTCCATGTGAATGAAAGCCTTTTTAGAAACGGTCCTGAGTGGAAAAGGGTATCTTTGAAACTGACGACCCCCATTAGGAAAAAATGTTTCCATCAAACGATTCCTCAGATTAATAACATGACTTACAGGCTTGGCGATCAAATCAGCAGCCAGCTTCGGGGAAAAAAACAATCCAAACTATCTTTTTGTTTTTTAGCTCATTTCAACATTCCTGTAACTTTCATTGGCCCTGTTATATTTTAAGACCCGTGTCTCTGAGCCCGTCTCAACTCGTGGCATCACAAAATCAAAACAACGCTTAATCGCTCCATCTCAGTCAGAAGGGCCCTCGCTGCGCTTCACTTTGCACAACAAACGACAGAGATAAGGAGGGATGGACCACGAGATTCAGAGTGGTGTTAATGACTTCACCCATACCTCTCTAACAGCGCAGTGTTTGAACAGGACTCATTTGTTTCAACCGTAAAGCGTAGGACACCGAGGAGTACGGGGATGATGGATGATTTGATGGAAGGATGGGTTTGAACGCTTCGGTGGGCAAGAGGCATGGGATGAGTGTGTGAATCACAGACTGGCTGGCTGCGAAGGTAGTAAACAAACCTGCCTGTGAAGGTGCCCCGGTAGGTGGTAGTTGTCTCCATGGCGACAATCAGACGGCTCCCGGCAGAATGAGCTTGTTTTCGAGAGCAACGCGTGTGCCCACTCAAACACATTATTTCACAGCTCCGCGCGTCAGCCGCGTGGGCTCTCCGTTTCACGTCGCGGCGGAGTGAGGCGATGCTCTGGCCTTGACCTCTGACCCACATCCTGATGCTGAGCTGAATGAAGGTGTGAGCTGAAGGGAGGAGATCATTCTACCAAATCTCAGCAGCTTCTTCAGCTCTGACTGCTCACAGCTCTGTTCAAAGTAATGGAAGTGTGTTTAAAAAAAAAAAAAAACGGAGTAAAGCTCAAATTTTCTCATATTAAAATCAGGCCTGTCACAATAAATCAATCAATGAATTGCATAATAAATTGAAACAAGCTCAATAATTTCCATCAGGAGTTATCTTTCTTCCAAAAATTAGGTGATAAAAGTCTTCAGTCTGGTGCTTTGGTCTCAACTAGAACTTTTTTGGAAGGACAAATTTGATCAATAAAGTGTTTTTGAATTTGAACTTTGAACCCTGGGAAGGCTTTTAAAGGCCGACGCTTGCACCAGGTTTTCCTTGAAAATCATGACCTGACTTTTGGATCATTCCAACATGCTGATCCGTTCATGCTCAGTTAGTTTGAACTTAATGAATCCATGCTAGAAAATGTGAGCAGAATAGAAAACAACAAGTTACTTCTGCTGAACAGATGCAGTCATTTTTAAATCCAACAAACACATCAAATTATAAAACATTTATACAGCAATGCGTATTCTCCTAGTCTTAATAACGAAGGATTCGGTCTAAATATTGTGTTTTAGTCATTTATATATATTTTTAGCTTATTTTATGTTTGTGTTTATTTTATTCATTTTTTCCCTCCTTTCTTGCTCTGACGATTCCCTCTCAGCTGTTTCACATCTGTGAAACAGCCTCACCTGTTCCTGCTCCAGTGGGCAGTGCCCACTTTTTTCCATTTTTGGTTGCAGCTTCCTGTTGCCGGATTCACCTCTCCCTCCCTCCGAACCTTTTTCGTCTACAAGCTGCCTCCCGCTTTGTTTTTCCAACATAACCTTATCAATACAATAAAGTAGATTTTATTGCAGTTTTTCTACATTTAGATTAAAATCTGCATTATATTATGATCCCACCACACACGTAGTTTCTTTTAAAACAGTAAATTGGCTTTGGAACTATTGTTCCTTCATTGTTGCAAAGTTTAAACATTAAATATAATATAACTCCAAGTTATGTTGCTGATGTCGTTTTTAAACCACGTGTTTCATTCTCTTGAATCAATCTGCTTAATGTTGGTAACAGATTTAGAGAAATGTTGTTGGAAACATTGTAGAGTTTTTTTTTTCTTTTTGAGGCAATCAAATCCCATCAATCATCAGTTCATATTTATCTACTCTTAATCCTGTCTTGTCTCACTGGGCGACAACAATCTGGAAGGAAGCCAAGGTACATAATGTACAGGCTGCAGAGAAGGTATAATTTAGGCACATTAAATTACAAAAACAGGCTTTTTATGGTTATGAAACGACATGAATCATCTTTTGATCCTGTGACTGGAACCTCAGAATAAAGGAGTCACCCACTTGTGAAGCGTAAACCCTGTGGCACAGATTAGTAAGTTACTAAAACTGTGCAAAGCAAAAGTCCTTCCTCATCATATTTACATAAAAGCATCAAAATCCTCAACAAATACTGTATGTTTACACTAAAACATCAAAGCAGGCGGCCACTTTTTCTGTATTTTTTTTTATTCCATATTACTTCCACATATAAAAACAGAAATGTATAAATTACAAACACATTTTCAACAATCGGTTGCACAGCAAACGTTCAGTAAACTTTTCTTATTTTAAATAAATAAAGAATAAATAAATATGAATGCCTTCAAACGGTAGTTTGGTTGTCTGATAGCGGCTCATTCTGAACCTAAAGGTAAAGTCCATCAGGCTGTTGATGCTCAGCCTGTGTGAGCCTCCTGTCACAGATTCCAGTGTACTTCAGCTTCCAGCTTTCATCTCGTTCCGTGGATTCTCTGAGGAGACGGAAAGAACTCCATGGCTCTTCCAGAAACTCTGTGGTTCTCCAGCCCAGAGCCTTGACGCCATCGATAACGTGTCACTGAGCTTGCAGCCCCTTTTTAAAAAGAAGACAAGTGGCGTCCAACTTTCTGGGTTTCTTTTCTGTTGTTGTTGTTTGTGCTTTTAAAAAAGAAAAGTCTCTTAGCCCGTCTTGGTCTCTCTGGTCAGCTCCAGGTATGCCGAGGACCTGAGGAAGCGAGGATAGCAGTCTTTCTCCATCAACGTGTAGATTTTGTCCCGAGCCTGATCGAAACACGACTGACTGGGCCGCATCATGTTCTCCCTGGTGACTTCTTTGGTGGCGTGGTCGAGGTTTACCTGAGGAAACAAAGGGAACACAGAGTTTTAGAGTCAACGTCTGGCCAGGAGGTCAGTGGCATCGGCAGAGCGAAGGGAGGGCTGGGGGTGGGCCGTACCTCTCGTGGAGCGTCGGAGCAGACAAACTCCTCGTAGATCTTCTTGGCCTTGGTGGCCAGCTTGGATGGTTTGCTTGTCCGGTAGTCCTCACAGGCCAAGTAAAAGGCGATGTTCTCCTCGCTGAACTCTGACACCAGGAACGCTCTGAACACACACAGTCCATCTGGAAGCGGAAGCAAAGCGGATGTTAAAAACCCGTCAACAGAAGTCAATGGACAGAGTGATTCCGTCGCATCTACAAAGGATCGTGGACTTACTTTGACTGGACAGCAGATTGTCAAATGACTCCTTCCATTTCAGAGGCTCATTGACTTCATGTAATCTGTAAAAACAGGGGAGGAAAGAAAACATCATTATTAGAAAAAGTTTCCTCTGCGGGTTCACCGAAATGCTTCCAAAGAGACATTGTATGCCGGTCTCACCTCTGCTTGTCACTTTTCTTGGCCTGCCCTGTGAGGCTGTGCTCTGATCTCTGCAGCAAACTTCCAAACAACGCCTTCAGCTCCTTCGCCCTGCGGGGACACACCGAAGCATCACACACCACTTCAGACATCATGCAACGTGTGCGCAAGTTGCTGGTGTGAGAAAACTTGACTACAAGCGTGAAAACTCTGGTTGGGTTTACCTCTCCAGGCAGGTGATGGGCAGCGATTCAAGTCCTCTGCACATGGTGAGATGCTTCCTGCTCGTTCTTGAGTAGCTCCCAAAGTTTCTCCCGAGTGATTGTGGGCGTGAGCTGTCCTCCTTGTTGTCAGCAAAATGAGCTTTCCAGCTGATCTGCCGTCTGTGTGGGGAAAGCGGCTTTTTATAGAGGTGGCCGGCGCGTGACATCATGCTCCTCAGCCAATGAGGGAGGCGAGTGGGCGGATGAAGAGACTCGTCGACGCTGAATTTCCTCCACACTACTTCCTCGCTGCTGGGTGACTCGTCACTGAATGAATTAGTTCACTGCTCTCCAATGTCCTTGCTGTGAATAGGGGAGTGAGGGCTGTGTCTGTGTGGTGTCAGGGCTTTGCCTTTGTGAGCGTGTGTGTGTGTGTGTGTGTGTTCATACAGTGATTCTGAAGAAGATTAATCAGAAAATCCCTTTCAGCTGTAGCATTTAACATAAAAGAGGTTCTTTCGTTTTTAGTGGGTCTGCCTAAAAGAGCCTAACAGATATCATGATCCTTTCTTTGCAACGCCCTCTGCTACACCGAGGGCGTTGGGTTAGGTGGCAATATAACAACCTCCGTTATATTATTTTCAAATATAAAATATATATTTCAAATATAAAATGAAAACCTAATTACTTAAAACTTTCTGCAAATGAGCATAATCTGCATCAACACAGCAGTTTCTCAATACGAAAAAAAAAATACGGTGCGTATATTTTTGTCGACATTTTGACTTTAATGAGGCGTTCTTTTCCTACTGTCTCGGTTTCTCCTCCTGCCTCATATGTTGACAAATAGGATAAAGTGGAATATGTGAGTTGCAGAAGTATGTTTCATGGAATATTACGTTCTGTCACACGTTTGAAATACGTGTCACTTTCAATGCGTCCCAAAATAGCATAATGTGTGCGTTAGATGAAAAGTGTCCTCTCTCTTATGTTTTGGCGGGACAGCTTCTGGTTTGATTTTTCCATTAGGGATGAACTGGTTATCTAGAGATGAATGCCATGAGGATATTAAATGATTATTAGCTCATTTAGCTCAACTTTAGCAGAACTGGCATCAGTTGGAGATAGCCCAAGCAGTCAGCATACTATAATGAGTGAATCTTCATCATCGCAGACAGAGCGTCCGGATAGCTTAGCAAGACGCTGAGTAATGTTTTCATTGGATCATTTCTGCGACATTTAAATTAACAACTGTGTTGATTCTGATGCCTATACGTATAATTTCCTAATTTTGATGTTCATACCACCACATTTTTTGACATGTTCAAAAATCCATTAGTTTTTGCTTTAGCTGATAGTCAAACTACATGCTATCCTACAGTGTGATGGGAGAATACCATAGCTTTCTAGTATCAGTTATTATAACATACTGATATTATACTATGAATAAAAAGATAACTCTCTATAAATGATTAAATACAATATATTGCTTACATAACATTTATATGGATAAGAACTGTTACATAACCTGGGTAATGAATTCAGCTTCAGTCCTCACAGGTACAGGAATAAATGTAGCTTTTTTTGTTTTTGTTTTTTTTCTTCATTCTGCACAGACACTGTCTGGGCCGTCTTTCCTATCAAGGCATGACCATGCATAGAAAGCTGGACCCATAAATAGCCCCCTGGATGTAAAAACAATTGTCTACTTAATCCCAGAGTCTATTTTAGACTCGACTGGGAGGCCAGTTACCAGTAAACTCTGCTAATGGCCTGTTTCTCTATTAGTTGAAGAGCGCTAGCAGGAAGGAGACAATCAGCCCGCCGGATGAAAAGGCACAAAGTTCGCTGATAGCAGCTGAGACGGCTTCCTCTACTGGCAGCCACCGACAATTCCTTCGCCTCTGACTGCCTGCCTCAGCTGGCACACAGCTCTGGATGTCAATATAAGGTCACTTCAGCCTCAGATAATGAGCCGCTCTCCTCCTTCTTCTCAGGAAGCACAGTCTGAAAAGCTAACCGGTATGAAAAAGGAAAACAAAAAAGAGAGAGAGAGTCAGGGAAGCCTGACTCTCTTGTGGTGTGGGTAGGAATTTTTGGAGAAAATGGATGAGAAACAATTTGTTTTGATCTGACGTTCAACTGGCTTGTAGGGGGAAACTGGATTAAAACTGTTGACATTTCGTCGCTACAGTCACCAGCTTATGCGTATGTCATTGGGATTTTATGTGACAGACCAACACAAAGTATTGCAAAACTATGAAGTGTAAGGAAAATAAGTCACAGATACATTTTTACAAACACAATAAAGATCTATATTCATGCACCCTCTTTTACTCTAGGACCAGAAAATAAAATCCAGTACAGTACAGAAGCCGCCTATTGTGTATATAACGCTAATCTGTTTGTAACTTCATTTTACTGTGAATCCAGATTACTGTGAAGGCCTCAGAGGTTTGCTAGCAAACAAGCAACACCAAACACTCCTTAAAACTGCAGCATGTAAGACCCGCCTCCGGGCTCTGATTGGTTGTTTCTAGTTAACACTGGGCGAAGGGGAAACCATTCAGTTTTTTTCTCCTACCAAACTGTCATGACATAGTGACATCTTCAACTGATAGGTATGGTGTTAATTTGTCACGTGTAATTGAATTAAGTTTGGCAAGCTTACCTTATTAACATTTGCTTAACATGGCGACTTAATATATTTACTTGGATAATTGTAATTGATTACTTGTGACCATTCAACACAATATGTTTAAGTTGAATTGACTGCTTTCTTGTTGCAGTGAGAACGGAGATGCAGCTGAGAGGCACGTGGTAACCATGGCGAAACTGTGGATCTCCACAGCTCAGTGGGGAATTTTCTTGATTGGACTATTATTATTATTATTATTATTATTATTATTATTATTGTTATTATAACCTTTATCAACAAAAGGTTCAGCCTCTGTGGAAGATGAAAGACAGCAAGAAGACTGAGGAAAGCTCTCCATCAGACGCAGTGGCGATAGATCTAAACTATTTCAGTGGGAAAATGTCCACATTCAATCTTGTAACAGGATTATCTGTGTTGTGCCTCTACTTGTCATCACAATGATTTAAGGCCCAAATTAGCCGATTTCCCCACTATACCACCCAAAAAACTCTGCGGCTGAGCTGGAGCTCAAACATTCCCTTCCATTTGGCTCTTGTATGTTTGGCTCAGTAGGGCAAAGTTCATTGGCTGAAGATTCTGGAGTCTATTTTCATTCTCGGGTCAGCGTTGTTCAGGACAACGAGGCACATCTACGTCCCGCTCTCAGCCCAACACAGCTTTCCCTTTCAAACATTCTTCACTGGCTGTAAACATGTTTTTGTGGAGTGCAGCGCAGCCCAAATTCTGCCAGGGCATGTTTTTCTCCTTCACAGCCCAAATGTGTTCCATCCTACTTAAGGTTATGTTTTGTTTTATTTTTTCCCACACATACACTCTAAAATTTGATAGGGTCAAAACAACCACATCTGGAATATTTTGCTGTCCAAATCCTGGTTAAATATAGATGAATCTGACATATAAATGGGTTAAAGTGATTAATTTCTCACGTTCAGGTTAACAGAGAGAGGCTTGAAAAGAGTAACCTGTAACCTGCATGACTACGAGTAGTATTTGAGTTAATATGAATTATCTATCCATCTTTTATACCATTTAGTCATTGCATGGTGGTAGTCGAAATTGGGACTCTATCTCTTTAAGAAGCTTCTGCTCTTTACGGCAGGAAGTCATCACAAATAAATAAACTAAATAAAGTCATAATAATGACTATTAATTTCATTTGAAATAGATTTTGTCTCACTTTGGTTATACTTAAAATTTTATTCAGCTGGAAAAGTTTTACACGATTCCTCATGACAAGTGATTTCATGCAATATTCATCTCTTAAAATAGAATTATTTAAAATAGAATTTTTATTCATCTTTAAGAATCTTTTGTGACTTTGTCACCTTCCTAAAATAATGGCATGAGGTATTTTTTGTCAAAAGTTATTTTGGCAAAAAAAATGACATAAGCCATTATTTTAGGAAGGTGACGATATAAACTCTGTTTTATATTATAAAAAGCAACTTGAAAAGAAGAACACAGTCCATGGTTATATATTTTTTATGTAACCATATTGTCAGGAAACAGGAGAGTTCACTGATTTAATATGTATTTGAACTTTCCATCCATCCATCCGTCCGTTCATCCATCCATCTATCCATCCTCTGATCATGAGGCAACAGCCTAACCAGAGAAGACCAGAATTCTCTCTCCTTTGCCACTTGGCCTACCTTTTCCAGGAGATTCCCAAGGTATTCCAAGGCCAGTCGAGAAATGTAGTCCCTCCAGGTTCTTCCTCTGGGTCTCCTCCTGGTGGAATGTTCCTGGAATCCCTCACCAAAAAGACATCCATGAGGTATTGTAACCACATGCCTGAGCCACCTCCACTGGCTCCTTTCAAAACAGAGAAGCAAGCATCGATTGTATCAAGTTTCTCACCTGATCTCTAAGGGAGAGCCTGGACCTCCTGTGACCGATGGTATCCTCAATATCTGTCAGTCACTACTCAAAGCTCGTCACTTTAGGTGAAAGTGCAAACGTAGACCGACCTATAAATCAGTACCTTTGCCTTTTGGCTCCACACTCTCTTCACCATGACAGACTGGCAAAGAGCTCACGTCACGACGGAAGCTGCAGCACAACCATTGATCACCTGCTCCATTTTTCTCTTATTCATTACTAAGATCCCAACAAGATCCCAAGATACTACAACACTTGGGGCAGGACCTTTTTGCGGCCCAAGCTCACGGTCTCAGATTTGGAGGATTTTCATCTTGGTCGCTATGGACTCGACTACAGAATGCTCCAGTGAAACCTGGAGACTGTAATTTTATGAAGCCAACAGAACCACATCATCTGTGAAAAGGAGAAACCTGATAGTGAGGCCACCAAAATGGAACCCTTCAACAACTTGGCTGAAATTCTGCGTCTTAAGATTTTGAGAAACTCTGAACAAAATCGATGACAAAGTGCAACCTTGGTGGAGTCTAACTCAGTGTTGACTAGTGTTTAACACCAGTTGTACAGCAACCTAACAGCCCTTATCAAGGGGCCTTGTACTCTAGACTCCTAAAGTACCCACCACAGGACACGGTCAAACTCCGTCCCCAAGTCCACAAAGTACATGTAGACCGGTTAGGCGGACTCCCAGGTACCGTCAAGGACGTTGTGGCGGGTGTAGAGTTGGCCCAGTGTTTCACAACCAGGATGGAAACCACAGTGTGGTTCCTGAGGCCAAGACTTGACTGTCCGGCTGAGTTTTCGTCTTCAGAATCCCTGGACAGACCTTACCTGGGACGCTTCGGTGTGGAATTGCACTGTAGTTGGAATACACCTTACACTCACAATGAAACAAACACATTAACATTTAAAATTTGCCCATCATAATTCTCATATAAATTTGTATTTTTTTAAAAGCTATTTTTTTAAGGTGCATTCAAATGAGAAATAAGCCATATCCTCACTCACATGTTATTGCAAACAACAAATAAAAATGATGGCAGCTTGTTTTCTGCAGATTTTGTCCTATCATTTTAAGCTGTCAGTTCTAAGAAGCGTTGTTATGACAACACACCGGAGCTGTCCATGGACTCCAACCCCTGGCAGGCCGCCGTGTCCGTCACAGAGTATGAACTCATTGTCTGCTGCTGTGTTTCTGTTATCGCCTGTGTCCGGATCAGAACCTCTGACCAACTCTGCCTCTTCATAAGCATTCCTCTTTCTCTCCTCATCTTATTCACCGGTTTGTTATGAACTTCCTTATCTTTTCAGCCTGGAATTGACTACTCCCCTTCATGTTTTGTTGGATGCGTTACTGTGCTGACAATGATTTTACACAGAAATAGTGCGTTTAATTTGCATACCAGATAATACAGAGCAACCCGAAGCTGAACCAATTATGAACATTATGCATGGAAAAAATCAGACTAACATTTTCTTGGTCAGGGTGGTAACTATTTCTAAAATATTCTGCTAAGTGCTTTAAAAAATTCAGACATTTGCTTCCACTGAGTTCACTTTGTTTTTAAACAATCATCCAACATGGGCTGAAAAGCCATTCAGAGAGGAAGAAGTCATTACTCCAAAGGAAACATTAAAGACCAAATTACAGATATAGAGTGCAGTTAGATATAAAGATGTAAATTTGATCAATATTTTTTAAGCGTTTGGCTGTAACGGTCATTATCAGGGTCAAACGGTCAAACCTACCAAAGTGAAAAAAACATTTATTTACATTTTAAAGTAAAAATTATATATATATATATA